TGGGATGACCCCATTTACGAGTGGTTAAAATGCATAAAATAAAAAAGTACAAACGCTATATTTTTTTAGTTATTTATTATTGCGTTAGCATTAGTACACACATGACGGCGAAAAGCTGACGGCGTCTCTCCTCGGACAAAACAGTAGAAATGGAAGCGCGCCGCGTAGAGAGGAGAGTAGTGAAGGACAAAGGCGGAGAGGGAGGTGACGTCACGGAGTGGAAGCCAATGAGCGCGCGCGGATGCTGGGGCAACTCTGAACTTGCAGGTGCGCGGAGCGCGAATGCCTTGGTACGTAAACCTCACTGGAGAAAAGCGCCGATGTCGTGTTCGCGTATAACTGTGTCGGATAGTGCACGTAACTACATATCTGAAGTTTTCTTTCTTTGTTTTTTTTTTAATGCGAGGAAATCGAAAAAGAAAAGAAAAAAACGCAGTGACTTACCAATATTTTTTTGTAATCTTGACTGAGAAATGTTCCAAGCTATCCAGTACGTACTAATATTTCGTGATATTTGCTCTTATATTCGAGCGCAGAGAGAGAATGCACTCAGTTTTTTTTTCTTCATAAAAATGCATTATTGAAAGTAAATTATAGGCTGGTTGCCATCTGCTCCGATTTCAAACCGCACATTAGCGCCAGTTGAACCTCCAGCGTACATTATAATAATACTATTGTTTCAAAACGGTCCTTCTTCGTTACTCGTAAAGGCGTCGCCGCTGGGGCCGTCAAGAACACTATCCGCCTACATCATGCTCACGTGCAGGAAAGAGAGAGGGATCTTCTTTTTTTTTTAAACACCGCTTTTTCGTGGAGCTTTTTATGTGAAAGTTTTAAGCAACGTTGACACCTAAGAACGTTGCTGCGAACAACAAACAGTATGGCGTCTCGTGAGCAGACATTTGCACTCGCTGTTCCATCAAGAAACAAAATAAGAGTTTTGCGCATTTTGCATGCGCTGGGCAGAGTAGTTCTTCCAAGATTTGGTTGTCAAAGGAAAGAACGGCGGTCTTTGGCGTGTATTCCTGGGTAAAATAACATAAAGCTAATCTAAGATGCCCCTACATCTGTCTTAATTCGTCACATGAATGAGGGGGCGGGGGGGGGGGATTAGTATCATTCCGCGATGAGCCGGATGATTTTTTTTTTTTTTACTACGAGTATAGATCATTGCAGTAATCGTCTTCTGCGGTCCGCCGTCTTTGTCTACAGTGCTGCGGAACTCGCTCTGGGCATGCGCAATAGGTCTCTTCGGCGTGATGTCGGACGCCGTGCTTGCGTAAACTGTCCAGTGACTCAGCATTTCCCGCCTCGGTGATAATCAGTGGGAATATATATGCCCCATTACGACGATCCGAGCGGTGTCTAATTCAGTGCGTTTGGATTATTGTCCAGAAATCCGCGACGTTCTTTTAAAGCATAAAATGCGTTTCAACGCTACCCTCTAATCCCAAAATTTTGTCCGTCCGTCCCTTCGTCCATACATTTCCCGCTAAATATAGCGGAAAAATTGGTATCACGATAACTATACACGATTTCGGTTCCTCAGCAAAATATAGCGTAAAAGTTGACGTCACATCAGTTCAATTTCGCCGCTAAATTTGGGCGGGAAAGTGGCGTCACATGACCAATGCACCAATTCAATTACACGCTAAATTTAGCGGGAAAATTCTCGTCTTGTGACCCAGGCACGAATCCAGTTTCCCCGCTCAATTTAGAGGGGGAAATCGACGCCACGTGACCTGACGTCACGTGTGACCCATACAACATTTCTTCCTCGCTAAATTTAGCGGTAAAATATACGTCACGTGACGCAACAATATCCCCCCCCCCCCCCCCAAACAAAAAAAAAAATGGGGTGATGTTTATCGTTTATGCTTATACAGCCTAGAACTTCGTCTGCCTCGACGGGCGGCGAGTCTCCCAGCTGTAGATGAGAAATTTAGCCAGTGCGGTACAACCGCTAGCCTGGGGTCTTTAACGTGCATCACGCAGTAGTGATACACGACCGCACGCCGGTACGATGCTCATCCAGATCGAAACGGGCAGGGGTGGGGCTCAAACCCAGGATACCCGAGTTCTGCAGCGCGAGCTTTCGCTCCACGTGCTCCGAGCTGGTGTGCGCTAGCCCACAGCAGGTCGCAGCTGATCTAACCAGCATGCACAACACATAAAGGCACCTTAGCTTTAAAGGAATACTTCAACGAAATTTGAAAAATTCCCGTCGTGTTCAAAAATAAGTTGAATATGATTCACAATATCCGTAAATGACAATCGCACATTTGTATTTTGAGCCTAGTGGCTGTATTTTTCGCTATAAACGGCCCACTCTGGCAAGCGCTGGGAGAAGGCCCAGCGGAGGCCACGTGACATCCAACGCAATCGTGACGTAGGTCGTCTCAGGACGAGCAAAGCTACGGTGAGGCTGACGTCGAGAGGATGGCCTAGTCGTTCCAGCCACCGAAGCGGCTGCTTTTGTACGAATTTTGAGTGACGGGTTAATCTTCTATAATCTCGCAGGGGGACAATAGACCCTTTCCGGAATTCAGTCTGGCCACTTTGATCACTATCATCATCATCTGAAAACGGCATATCTGCTATACTAGTGGCGGCCTTCTGTTTACAGATGAAGGAAGAAGTTGAAGATGCTCCTGAGCAGATGATTCGATGCCTTTACATTATCGACGTTAGCGCGGCGTGAAGCAGGAATTGGACGCAAGAGCTGCGTAAGCGGTCATTCCTAACTCGGTCCCAGTCAATCTGTTAGTAGCACTCACTCGGCTTCAAAGCACCTTGATGTACAGGACTCTATCAAGGCGTCTATATGGGTTGGCGCTTCGTTCCGACTGGCCGCATTTCTTTCGCCATCGACACTAAAAGAGATTGAAAATAATTGTAGTGAAGTGCACATTCTCGTTTACCGTTGACCTTTAAGTGACGGTGCCCCATTAGATACTGCAGACCACAGGTTCATAGTCGCCATTAGTATAGTAAAAGATAAACTGCCATTTGAGTCACCAGATGGCACTGAATTCTGGAAAGGGTCTATAGCGGCTTCTGCGACACGCACAAGGCATTCTCGGGAAGAAGGGAGTTCCTCGTTCCCCTCTTCTTTCGTCGTGGCCGGAGGCGAGACAACCTCCGTCACCAGCTGTCAAGGTTCCTAGACGGGCACTACAAGCGAGGCGTTAGCGACATCCACCAGGTGCTCTTTGCTAATCGTTTAATTCGTTTTAAAATTCCTTTTCGTGACTTTTTTTAACAAGATATTGGTAGGTTCCATGTGATACTGCTCTTTTGAACACATATAGACCAAAAAATGAGCGCCGAAATTTCGTTGTAGTATCCCCTTAACAACTTAGACCGCCTGTTGATACTATCGTCCATCTGTCTCCCATTATTTTTTTTTCCCTTGGTCCTCAAGCAAGAAGCAAATGCAGTCACACTGCGCCGGCACTGACCGCGTCGTATTTATAGCAGTCGGGCTCGCTTTTCGCGCGGCACATATATATATATATATACACTAAAACTTACTACATTTGGTGAATATTTACAACGTGCAGCGGTAGAAATGAAAATGTGCAACTTACCTTCTGTTTTGAAACTCCACGTCGCACTGAGCCGGCAGTGTCGGTGCGTCTGCTCAGATGAGTGGGACAAGATTTACGTCATGCCGTCGACGCGCCGCTGATTATCAGTGTTGCCAAGCTGCCTGAGCCAGTAGTTTCGGTTTCGCCGTTCCGCCGGAACGAAACTTGGATGCGCGATATCTACAAAACTATATACGCTACCGAAAAACAAACTATATCTCGTGATTTAGGGTCGCCGACTCCGACTTAACAGATCATAACCCAGAATATGTTAAAATGGAGTGGAGTGGATGCATGAAAATGGAGTGGATGCATGCAGACGAAGAAGACGAAGAACAAGCTTATGCATGCTAACCAGACAACGTTTTTTTCTTTTTTTTCAAGATTTTGACAAGGAAAGGGAAAGACAACCGTACTCCCTCAAACTCGCTCCTGAGACCGGATTGGCCTCGTTTTCTTGCCTGCTGGAGGCTGTCCATCTAGGCTGATGGAATCACCAGGAGTCTTCTCCGTATCTTCTTGTGGGCTTTCTTAGTCCAAGACAGCTTTCTTTGTCTCTAATATTTTTTTAGTGGCGTCGTAATGAGTTTGCAATTCGGTTTCTTAGTTGTTTTTCATTTTTTTTCAATATAAACTATCAATGCGTTAGCATTTTATTCACGACGTTTTAGAAAGAGTGCTACACGATCGCCCGAGCTCGACCCGGGTCCGGACACAATCCGAGCTACCCGTCCCCGGCCCGTCCCGCGAGCCGGGCCGGGCTTTCGGGTTGGCCCGGCCCCGTCCAGAGCTCTAGTCTGTAGACTTTTGTACGATGTTTAGTGTTAGCAGCGTGTCGACCGCGGCTTTAGTGTATAAATCAGCTTGTCCCAGGGCTAACGCTTCGAGGGAATTACAGTAACACCCTTATAGTGCTGCGGTGCCCCCTAAAATTAAAGTGGCTGGCAATCTTAACAAGATACATATTGTTTTCTTTCTTTTATCTTACGAGCCGCAAGTTTACGAGCGCCCCATACCACATACATTTGTCACTTGTTCAGAAAGCATGAATAATCAACCGTACACTGTGTTGGAAACCCGATCCAATTCGCTGCTCCGACGCCTTGTTTACGTGACACTTGAAAAATACTATACTTTTTTTGTACCTCAAGAACCGTAGTTAAAAATAAGTCAGGCTCCATGCGGAGCTTTACTAACTTCGCCTTTTATGTGTAGAATTAAGAAACACGTAGGTGCATTTTAGATTCGATATGTGTTATCATCTCGGGATGTGCACGTTGCGAACGCCAATAAAATCGTTTCTCCCTCCGACAACCAAATCTTGGGGCCCAAAGCGCCGGGGCGACATATCTTACAAATCCGTACTCGATCTCTGCTTCGTGGCTAACCGTGGGACACTTGATTCAACAGAGCGCAGGCGGCGGCCTGGACGACGGTGGCCCCACGTCCCCGTTCCTGCTGGGCGGCGTGCCGTCCAGTCCGTCCCCGGACGACAAGGGCCGCTCGGGCAGTGGGGGCGGCGGCGTGCCCGGCGGCGTGGGTCCCCTGCTCCCGACGGCCCAGCCCCCGGCGTTCCCGTTGCTGGGCGGCAAGCAGCCTGGCGGCTTCCCGCTGTCCCTGCTCTACGGGCAGCCGTCGTCCTACCTCCTGGTCGGGTCGGCCCCGTTCATGCCGCTGCCGCCGCAGGGGGACCTGACCCGGGGACTGCTCTTCCCGCCGCTCCACGCGGGCTTCGACCCGCTCGCCAAGGTACTCCACGCTGTACGTGAGCCATGCACGCTTTCTACGTCCATCACGCTCTACCCTGCTTCTGTGGGAAACAAAAGAGCACTTGGGACTGGGACTTGGGAGGCAGTCGCTGCAGTCTCCTGAGGGCGCTCGGCGAATGACCAGGTGCTCAAAGTATCGCTTGGAAGAATCGTTCAGCGATTCTTCCAAGCGATGCGACGAAGCGACTTGCCAAGACCCGCTGTCTCTCGGTCGTTTGAAATCACATGCAAACAACGCACGTCACGACGAAAAACACGGTAGTGACGTCGCAAAAGGTATCGTTCTATTGGCTCCCGCCGGAGCCACTTCCGGGCGACACGCTGAAAACGGGTGTTATTTTCTGGAAATCCATAGAAAAAATGAAAGCCGTTTACAATTCCCTGTAACGCCGGTTGGAGCGCAGCTCTTGAGGAGGAGGATGGAAGCGTACTGAGGGACAGGTGACTCCTTAAGGTCACGTGAACTCATGGGAGGTCGGGTGACGTCAAGGGGGTCACGTGACATCGGGGGAGGGGGGTCACGTCACCTCAGGAGAAACACGTGACCTCAGGCGGCCACGTGACCTCAGGGGTCACGTGACTTCAGGGGGTTCACATGACTCCAGGGGGGTCACGTGACCTTAGGGGTCATGTGACCTTAGAGGTCACGTGACCTTGACGATGACGATTTGATGACGTCATCAGTGATGATGACGATGACGATGCGGATGCCAATGACGTCATCAGTGATGATGACGATGACGATGCGGATGCCAATGACGTCATCAGGGACGTCACTGATGACGTCATCAGTGATGATGACGATGACGATGCGGATGATGTCATCAGGTTGCATGCAACCTGGATTGCATGCAACAGGTTGCATACAACTCGTATGCCAGTTGCATGCAACTCCCGAAGGAACCCTAGGTCCTCCCGAGGTCTTACCGAAGAAACCCGAAGTCCTCCCGAAGGGACCCGAGGTCCTCCCGAAGGACCTCGGGTTCCTTCGGGACGACCTCGGGTTCCTTCGGAAGTCCTCGGGTCCCTTCGGAAAAATTTACCCATAATGCACCGCGCGGTTACGCCGACGGCGACGGCGACGCCGACGCCGCTCAAGCCGGAAACGGGCGCCTAAGAGCTGCGCTCTAAAAAGCGAAGGCGACGGGCGACGGGCGACGGCAATTCTCGTCGCTCGTCGCCGTCGCTTGGTCTGTCGCTCACCGAATCGCTTACATTGTCCCAGTCATGCAGATAGGAAGCAGAAGAAGCGACATTCCGGCTCAAGCCAGTCATACAACGAAATCCGAAATGAGGCCGGAAGTAGAGGTTGTGGTCCGTGGGAAACCCTCAAAGGTGACCAAACCAGCCGTTGGCACCAGATCAGCTCGTCTTTTCGTTCAATGGCGTCTTTTTGTTTTGTTCGGTTTTGTTCATCGTCGGGGGCGTGTCTCTCTAAACTGGCAGCCTCCCCCGGCTTCACCCCTGGTTACGTCATGTCGCCTCCAGAAGCTTCCTACCTCCCTTGTCCCAGTGCACACTGTACTGGTAGACCTAAACCTGTTTTCAACCTAGACGATCGCCGAGTACTATCTCCAACTTACAAACATCTACAGTGCACACAAAGGCATGGACACGAGCACGTGGCTTGGGAATGTGCATCTATGCATGCACGAGTTCTCGTACAAACAAAAGCATCCTGCTGAGCAGTGGCGTACCAACTTGTTTTTGATTGCGGGGGGGGGGGGGGGGGGGGGGGGGGGCAAACCAGCCGCCGGCCAGTGTTTGCCCTGCCCTGTGGCGGCTGTTCCAGGGGAGGCAAAACACATGCCTTGCCCCCCAACCCTGAGGACTGGGGGGGAGGGCAAGCGTCCCCCTTGCCCCCCCCCCCTGGTCGGTACGCCCATGCAGCTGAGGGAGGCTCGCGCGCTTGTGCCCGTGTCTTTGCTGTGAGATGGAGGATTGGACAAAGTGCAAACCCTCTCAATAGATTTGCCATCACCGTAGTAGGCAACAAAGTCCAACCATCTACCTCGGCCAGAGTACTCGGAATCTACATTGATGAAGACGGCTCATACAGAACCTGGATGGCCAGGGCCAGCCAGCAATACGAGACAATCATCCGTGTCATCAGAAGGATATGTAGTTCCAGAGACGAAGCGAACGAAGAAATTTCACTCCAGATGGTGAAGGCACTCATCGTATCAGAAGTCGGCTACTGCATTTCATATTGCAACGTCTCAAAAAGCCAGTGGAACAAACCGGAAACCATCAACAGATAAGCCGCGCGGGTCATTACCGGCTTACCCTGATTCACGCCAATAGCGACTAATGGAACATGCCCAGCTGAACACCTTACAGGAAACTGCAATGGTGCGATCTGTCGCCCGCCGTGAACGACTAACACTCACGACCCGGCAGAACCATTCTCAGTCTAACTCAAGCACACAAAACTCCCGCTTTCCGACCTAACAGAGAACGAACCCCGCTTGGGTGAGTACATCGACCTCGTGGAAAACAAGCCCATTCCGAAAAACGCAAGCTTCAGACATCTATATCGTCAGACATCGCAAGCCCGTAGCCACAACAAACCGATCCAAGCTTGGGAAGGTTCGGCTGAGAAACAAGCCATCTACTCAGTGTCACAGACGCGGCTTTCGCGACACTCCCAGACCAACTTGGTACCGTCGCAGCGGCAATACCAAGAAGAGGAGTTACATTTACCAAGCCATTACCGAACAGCACTTCCGTCAAAGGTGGCGAACTCGGAGCAATTCAATATGCAATTGAAACAATCCTCAAGGACACGACCATTGGACGGTAAGACTTCCACGCTTTTACTGACTCGGTAGCCTCGCTCACCCTTGCACGAAAGCAAAATCTATAAAAAGATGGACCTTCAGCTTTTTATGCAAGCTACGAAAGTCCAGCTGTTCTGGGCGCCCGCCCACACAGGCGTAGCTGGTAATGAGCAGACCCCTTCTACAGCTAGCTCTAATAGCTACACTCCGCGAGACACAGAAGCAGCCCAGCCACCTCCACGATCACGGCTACGCATTTTTCTCGCCCGAAGATGACGAAGCCACTATATGACCCCAACGAAGCTAAACAACAGATCAATTTTTCGTCCCGTAATGCGCTGAAGGAACATCTTCCGTCCATCTCCGACCCACTGCCGCGAGGCTCATAGGACGGAGAACGAGGGTGCTCTTAAGGTGCATTAGTACAAGTTGTGGACAACCAATACCGCCTGCACGCCGAACAGAAGAGCAGCGTGGAAAGAAAGGCGCGCACACCACCGACATGCTGCCACTGCAAGGACTCCCAACATGCGGTCAACCTTATATAGTTCACCTGTTACGGGGCTGCAAAGGCCTCGAGGCAACACGTACGGAAGAAGTAGTACCTAGAGGACGGAGTGACATCCAAGACAGAACCGGGTCTTCCCTCCAGGCCCTTCATGGCAAGCAATACCAAACTCTGCACACTCTTCTGGATTATATCCACGAAGCTGGCATAGAAGTGCACATGGGATTCGCCCCCCCTTCCCCACATCTCCCATACCGGGAGTTCAAGCCTCGATGCCATTGGAGAGTTGTAGGGAACCGTTTTTGCACGTCCGATACGACACGATGGGTTCTCCGGTATACGAACTGCGCATGTGCGAGCCTTCTGCGGCAGCGCATGCGCAGTGCGTACCCAAGGGCTCATTGCACCGTATCGGATGTGCAAAAGCGGTTCCCTAAAACTCTCTATTGACTCATTCCCCTCCGCCCTTAAAGCGGTCCAAATAAACACTTTACACTACAACTGTGAGGCGGAGTATAGATTGCAGCGGCTGGATCACCCCAGTGCTTTGCAAAAAGTAGACGCACAAGATTTTTTATTTCTTTTTTTAATGATTACTGACAAAGTGAGAACGGCAGGGAGAAGCTTCAGTTGTTGGAAGCTCCAGCGCAAACTTACTACCTTCGACAACGTTCGGTCGTCCAAAGCGCTGCCGAAGCACGGCGGAAGGCATGAAACGCGTGCTATACCGGGAGTTCGAAAGGCACGCCCCGTTATTCTCACCCTGTCGATGACTATTTGCGACTCTAGCGGCTAGAACGGAAAGCTGCGGCGGCAGGTTCGCCCGCCAGCCTTCTCGAGCAAAGCGGATATTCACAACCGCCAGACTCGTGTTAGTTTTCCCGCTAATTTTAGTGGATAAAGTGAATTTTTGTGAAGGTCAGTGACACTAAGCTATGTGTGAATTTAGCGGGGAAACAGAAGTGGTGCTGACGCCCCGTGACATCAAGTCGTCACGCCATTTTTAAAGCTAAGTTTGGCGGGGGAACTGAATTAGTGTTCAAATCATGTGACGCCGATTTCCCCGCTAAAGTTAGCGGGCAAAAAGCATGACATCAGATGACTTCATTTCACTTGACCTACACACAAATTAAGTTTACCCGCTGAAAAATTTACATGTGACCTGCCGCGGCTCTTCCAATCATGCCTGTAGCTGATCCCTAAACTTGATTGGTGCTAAGGTCACGTGATGTCATTCTCTTTTCTTAATTTAGCGGGGAAAATAAAAGGCCAGAAGCATACCTCCATGTGGCCTGAAGACCCTAAGAAAGCTAATTCCTTTAAAACGCGCGATGAAAATCGCCAACAGAGTGCTCCTTTGCCGGCAGTTGCTGCTTAACTTCGTACTGCAGGAAAGTGAACGCACAGGGTTCTGAACCCGAGCCCAAAAATGTCACAGTTCCTCGCGCTCTGTGTCTTCGCGTTTCGACCCCCGGGAATTCCCACCGCAGGAGCGCATGGCCTCGTGTCTGGACCTTGCCGCGCGGTCGTACGCCCACCAGCGCCCCGGGTCTAAGGGGGGCGCGGACGGCCGGAATCCGCTCCTGTCGGCCCCGACCCTGCCCTTCCCGTGGCGCGGACCCCACCTGGACATGATGGGGGGCTCGGACGGGGCCGGGGGGTCACCGCCCCCCTTCGGACAGGACCGCGGAGGGTCGCCGTCCAAGGGACTGGACCTCAAGCGAGCCGACCACTTGGCCGGTGAGTCGCTTTGGAAGCTACGTCTTTGTGATGGGCCCTTTCCGAAGTTCAACCTGGCAAATATTATCACTTCTTCTAGTTCAGCTGGCCTTAAGTGAACTATGAACCAACTAGCTCAGCTCAAGCCTGTTACAAATATGATCACTATCCTTACAACGCTTACTACTACTAGCACGACTACTATCATCATCATCTGTATGGCATCTGTGCCAATCACTGGCCTTCTTGAGGCTGATGAAGGTCAAGAAGTTGAAGATACTACAAAGCGAAAGATATGTGAGGAACATACGTGCGAGAAGTCAGTACAATTTACAACCAGAGGTCGGCATTTTAGGTCGCCCTGGCTCACCCTCACAGCCACTCACAAAAGCCCCTCACTCACCCGTTGCCCCCACAATCACACTCACCTTGACAGTCCTTCACTCATCCTCACTGAACCTCACGGCCCTCACGCACTTACGGCCCTCACGCCCCTCACGCCGTCACCGCCCTCAGGCACTGACAGTCCTCAGGCCCCCTCACGGTCATTCACTCACCCTCACACTCATGAATGTTCTTGGTACAGAAACTCACCCACCCTCACCTCACCTGTGAAGATGGGGTGACTGAGGACCCTCATGAGTGATGTTTGCGAGGTAGGAGTACGACACGACGCACGAATTAGATACAACGGCTGCGTAAACATTTTTTTTTTCTTTCGCAGTGTAGTTGAATAAATTTCTTGACACTAGTCTGACTCTAAAGCATTTCGATGGCGGCAATTTAATCGAGGGGCTTCTGGGTCGACGCTTTGTACTGGTCTGTTTTCATGTTCCCGCCATCAATATCAAACAAATAAAAAAACGAGGTGATCGCAGAACCAAGTCTCGTCTGCAATTAAAGGGGTATTCACACGAGGGAGAAATCCCGGGGATTTCTCCCCGGCTCGCGCGCATCACGAGATGAAAACGCGAGGCTTTTGCACATCGCAAAGCCTGACGTTTTCGTCGTGGGATGCGCGTGCCGGGGAGAAATCCCCGGGATTTCTCCCCCGTGTGAATACCCCTGCGAAAGGGAGGATGCCCGATAAAATACACGTGTCATGACTACCCTTAATTTGTCGAAAATTAAACTACCTTTCGCACCCCTCCCCCTTCTTTCCCCCACAATCCCGCGGTGCTTAATTTCAAAATCTCTTACCTCTTTTTTTTTTTATTTTGGTCATGGGGCACACTTTATTGTTACTGCGACCTTCTGTTTTACTGCTTCACGAGATTCCACAGCTACACAACCACCCTCGCGTCGCTTACCACCCTGAAGAACTATCAGAAACACTGTGGCAACGCGTAATACACCTTCGAGAGAAAAGTCAACGGGTCGGCGCACACCTAGTGGACGTCAATCGCAGATTCGAAACCTCCTGACCGGAGCAGCACGACACGCCGAACAAACGCGATCAAACAACAAAGCGACACGGTGGAATAGGGCAAGTAAAAAAAGAAAGAGAGAGAGAGATGACGCTGGGGGAGGGGGAAGGGGGGTTGAAAAGGGGAGCGAGGCGTAAAACGGCCAAATCAAACGAGACACGAAACAAAAAAAACAAAAACAAAAAAGTGACAGACAGCCGCGAGACGGAAAGAGATGCCGAGAGCGGTTATCGAATCCAATCCAAGTCTCGCAAAGGTCCGCCGAAAAAAAGAAGAAAAAAATAGGAAAAAGAACAAGGCCCATGTAGAAAGAGAAGTCAGCGGAGAGGAGGAAGGGGGGGGGGGGGGGTCGAGTCCGGCCGGCGTTTTCTTCCGGATCGAATGTCCCGACGGAAGAAAAATGCGGAAAGAATTATCGATTCGAACGTTAGCAACGTTCCCTCGATCGCGCGGGCGCGCGCGCCGTCCGGGCACGCGGGCAACCTACGCAGCAATGCGCGCCCTGTATTATTTTGCCCCCCTCCCTGTTGGCGTAATAGTGTGTTGATATGAGCGCTCGTCCATCTCGAGGCAGTCGGACAGCTCCCCCTCGATCCACGAATCCGCTCCGCGCGAGCTCGAAATCCGAGCGCCACGGCAATCAACGGGAGGGGGGCGCCCATTGACCGCAGGTTGCCGACGGCCCCACGGTTAGCCGCAAACGCTAACCTCCTCCTCCTCCTCCCCTTTTCCTAAAGCGACGCTCCGGAACCGGAACCATAGGTTCTCGTCCGTCTGTCTTGAGGTTCTCTTTTTTCTCTCTTTCGAGTCGGGAGAGGGCAAGAGAGGAAGAGCCAGGGTTATTTTTTTGGGAGGGTGGCGGGGTCCCAGATGGATCTCCCATGTCCGCGTAAATTGAGAACAGCTCGGCCGGATTAGGCCTATAGCTCGATCTCGGGAGCGCCCCGCGAGCGGGCTCGGGGTCGGGCGCACAAGAAACGAAGCCGCCGCCACCGCCGGCCGCCGCTGCCGGGGGCCCGGGTCTGTTTGTTTGGGCTGGCCACCTGGTCGGTTTTCGTTCGGCTCCCTTTCTCGCCTACTTCTTTCTTTATTGTTTATCTTTTTATTATTTCTTGAGATATAGGGGACCCCCCGCACGCTGTCGACAAGTGTGTCGACGGCGCGGCGTCTTCCGTGTGACAGGTGGAAACGGAAAGCGCGCTCGCCAGGATGCGGCGGTTGTAACGACGGACGGGCGGACCCGTGTCAATTTCCCCCGGGGGTTCAGGCTCCGAGTCCGGATCCTATTTAAAGAACAGTTCTTTTTTTCTCCCACGGCTGCCCGCCACCCGCGCCGATTGCCTATCTCTCCGAGTCGGCGTCTGGGCGGAAAAGGGCCGGCATCGACCATCCGATGCTGGCGGGGAGGGACGCGCCTCCGCAAAGCTCCGTTCACCCCGAAGCTGACAGTACGGTGTAGGCCACGTGAGCCCCCGGAACAATCAAACCGCCTCCCTTTCATCACCCGATCCCGCTCTCCGCGCGTGAATGTATAGATGGGAGTGTGATCACGTGACAATATGGAGTCGTACCATTGGTCCGACGATCACGTAGCTCCCGCCGCATTGTCAGGTTAGAGGTAACTGGAGTAGAGCCCGATCCGTTTAGCGCTTGTGTGCGTGTCTCTGGGTGTGTGTGTGCGCGTTGAAGGAAGGGAGCAACAAACACCAACAACAACAACAACGGATTTTAGGTAGCCTCCAGGCTTCTCGGGGTCGAAACATGTTTTGATATTCTTTTCTACGAGTTGCCTTTGTGTGTAGTATGGGATTTTCTGAACGCTGCGCGTGCTGCGAAATCGCCCAGAGCGCGGTGCCGGTATTAGATGCATGGACTGGATCTGCCGCTTCAATTTTTTTCCCCTCGCTGTCAAAGTTGAAGTGCCGGGTTCATGTATCGAAATATCGATTAGCTGTATAGATTTAAATTACTTTTTTGTGTGTGTGTGTGTGTGTATGTCGCACGGTGTTTGATGTATAACAAAGTTTAGAACGTGGACGATCGTTGTGTCCATTTTTGAACCGGAGGATCTTGTTCAGTATTCGGTCCTGCCTTTTTGTATATTTATTTGATACTCCGTTGCGTGTGCGCTAACTTGGTAAAAGATAAACTATATCGTTCATGATTGAGCGCTTTGTCAAGCGTAACTCTTAGTTACCGGGTCAGGTTGTATACCGTAACGCGTCACAAACATTCGTCGTGCCCAATGAATGGATGGATAAGTGCTAACGAATGTACCCTTTTTAGAGGGCGATAACTTGCGCTAAATGTTAAACACAACAAAAAAGTACGATTCATCCTTCGCCCTTTCTAAGCCAAGAAATCACGGCCGCCACTGTTGCTCGATGAGGTTTTCGAAAAGGGTCTCTCGGTGCCCGACGCAGTGCGGCATTCGACGCGTTGATTGGACGCGAGGCCCGGCCGAACGATGAAGCGGCGCTCGTGTCCGATCAGCGTCTGCGCTCCCGATCACGCCGCGATGACGTCACATTTCCACTGCAAGGGCTCTGCTATTTTCGACTCCATTTCGCGTTAAGTCCGGTCAACGCAGCCGGCGTTACCTCCGACGCCGGCTGCGTTACCTTCGCCGCATCCTGGGCGAAGGTAACGCAGCCCAGGATGCGGCGAAGGTAACGCAGCCGCATCCTGGGCTGCGTTACCTTCGCCCAGAAGGTAACGCAGCCCAGGATGCGGCTGCGTTAAATTGCATTGCCGAAAGTGCGTCGTCATGGTGCGCTCGTTGTCTCTGTACCTTGGCCATCCCCGGCTAAGCCGTTCGCGTACAGCGAATGCGCTCCGATTCTGTGCTTTCTTCTGAACGCGATCGGTTCAGACGGTAAACAGAAGACCGACAAAAGGGACTTTTAGGGAACCGTTCATTTGATACGGTACGAACTGCGCATATATGCGGTTTCCTAAAACTCCCTTAAACGGTTTCCTAAAACTCCCTAAAGACAACGGGTGCCATGACCATGCACTTTTGGCGATGCTCGATTGGCACGATCGAATCGTACATGTCGGCTGCGGTATAACTTTACGTGAAACAAGGTACATTGGGTGTTTTCACTGATGTCATTAGGGACCTTTCGCAAATCGTTACCGTGTTCGGTAACGGTAACAGTTTGCTAAAAGTCCTTCTAAGGAATATTCACTGGCGGTTATAGCTGTGTGCGCGACTGCTGAGCGCGTGCTGACTGCGAGCTTCCGCAGTTGTATTGTAACGTGCGTTCCACACCATTGAGACTGCTGGTCTCAGCAGCCTATTAATGTGAGCTCGTTCTGAGCCTGCGCTCTAAACAGCGCCCTCAGATATGGTGCCCGGTGAATACCCCTTATTACGCCTACCATTTTGTTGTTAGAAGCTGCCTGGCGCACTGCCAAAGGCGAACGTTTGAAGGAACCATCCGGCACCATCGAATCCATAGTGCACTGGGGCCCGTATAAGTTTCATTGCGGGACGTCTAACAACAAAATGGCTGATCGGCGTCGCGTGAAAACGCCCTATATAGACGGTGTCGGTTCGACTCTATACTAACCTGTCTTTTGAAGCGCCCAAAACTCTGCCGTGTTTTTGACGAGGTGCCCCATGCAGCGTGCGCTTTGCGACCCGTCCTGCGGTTTGGACCGTATTCTACAGGCCCCCTGGGTTCTCCCAAGTGGAGCCTGGGACAGGCCACGAGCTGCCCCGTCTGCGGAGTCACGCTGGCGCAGGCGCAGATGGCGGACCACTTCCAGCTCGAGATGGACAAGCTCGCGGATTTCTACAGGTTGGTCCATGCGTACGGCAACGCGCGGTCCCGCGCACGCGCCGTGCGGACAGCGGCGTCACCTCAACAGCGTGACGGTAGAACCACGTTAGCGAACTCTCGAGTTCGCCTTACGGGCTTTCAGCTAGTTCGGTTCATATTTGTTGATGTTACCGTCCGCCAAAAACCACAATCTCGGCGATGTGAAATGTTCGCTGTGAAAGGTTTGCGCAGGCTGGCCATTAGCACGATACCTTGTCAAGAGGTCCAATAAGTCGAAAGATCCAATATTGGACCTCTTGCTTCGCTGGATGTCTTCACTCGATAGATTGGTTGTATCGTTGGACCTCTTGACCCATATTAGATCTCTTGACCCATGTTATAGATCGCTTGACCGATGTTATAGATCGCTTGACCTGTGTTAGGTCTCTTGACCCGATGGATACCGTGACCCGTGTTATATGTCTTGACCCGTGTTGGATCTTGTAACTCGGTGGATCTCTTGGTCCAAGTTAGATCGATCTTGACTGGGTGGACCTCTTGGCCCACGTTAGATCTCTTGCTTCAATGAATCTCTTAACTCACGCAAGAGTCCTTCACTCCGTGAATCTCTAAACCCGGCTGTCATCTGACTGCCAGGTCCCCTGAGTCGTTAGACTTCTTAACCAGAAACGCATCAACATGGCGGCTGATCTTCCTTCGTGTAATTTAATGTTTGTTTAAACAACTTTCAGTTGCCGTCGCTGGGTTGACCGGTCTCACGAGGAAGCGTCTCTGGTACGTACACGTCATCGGTCTCAGCCCACTCGTCTGGCTCTATACCAGCACTCGACGATCGATCTCTGATTGGCCGCTCTCGCGCGTGCGCAGCCGGAGCCCCAAGTGCAATGCAGGCCTAGCTACGACGCCGGCAAGCGGTCGCCGCTTTCTCGTTGGGAGGTGAGTGCAAATGACCGCCATCGAGTCCCTTGGAGGTCAAGTGGCGCGGGTTGTTTTCGGTGTAAGCAATACGGTGCCTTGCACGTGACATCTTATAGTACCGTACCAGCCGCCATTGCTCTGTACCATGGTCCTTTGTCCGTACCTTCGGCAGCATACATTTCGTACCATCGAATTTGTTCTTCTTACCAATCCTTGTCGAGAAGAACAAAATCGATGGTTCCAAATGTATGCTTCAGAGGATACCGGCACAGCAGCATGGTACGGAGGAATAACGACCGATGTGACGTCGATGCAAGCTATGTATAAACAAATGAAGGCTGCATGTTAGCGTTCACCGGATAATTTGTTACGGGTAAGCTTGTCCCTTAAGCGAAAGGATGACGCGTTTCGTTAAGTAGAAGCGTCTAACAACTGAGTCTACACGCAACATGTGACGCGACAATTATTGGTTCTTTTTACAGACATACCTCAAGGTCCGTGGAAACCGGCATCAAAGGCTGAACGGTAAGAATACACTGCTATTTGTCACTCCCACTTAGTCTTAAGAAAGAGTTAGTATGAATTAGCGTAGTTACTTCGTACCTGCAGAACAGTACGTTGACTACATCATTCATGATTATGCCATCAGCACCGAGGTAACATATGTTGTCTTTGACTGGGCTGAAGGGAGTTACGTTAGATTCGCATGGATAAGTTAAGCTTGATGTCTGATGCCGAATAGAATGCAACGTTTTGCAGGCTGTCCCTAATTCCTCCACTATTCAAGGTAAATTCGCACGATGTCTTAGTTATGTACTATAAGCCACTAATCTACAAGAAACGACGTGGGTGTTATGGCTATTGTCGTCACCAAAACTTACGCAGGTAAGGGCCAATTGGAAACGAGTCTCGACAAGGCTGTTCACTACTGTCAGCTACTGTTTTCTCGGATACATGGATTCATGAACGGCAGAATAATTTTATTCGGGTAGCGGCTTGCTCCATTTCGCCAGTGTTCTTATTTTCAGCACTTAGCAACCACCTATACGCAAAAAATCAAGGTCGGGCCTTTTAGCAAACTAACCTGCACGTCTAACCCTATCTAATGGCCAGCATTGTATTCATAACGTTAAGCAAGAAGGGAAAAAAAGACACGAGGATAATAAGCGCGGACGAGTTTTACAAAATCACCAGAACAGATGTGAAACGCTACTTCAATCCCCCCCTCAAAACTTCGGATCCCGAAGTTGAGACGGGTTTCTCGCACGTAGCCCTCTGCGGTCGACGACGCCGAGCAGAACTCCCGTTGGACCTCCAGTCGGCGGACGGTTCCCCACCGGGCACACCGCACGGCAGGGGGCCCCCACCTCCGCCGCCGTCGCTCAAGGTGGAACTCTCAGACAACGCGTACGACCACGGTGAGTCGCGGCGCCCTTCTGACGTTCCCGGCGATGCGCTAACCCTAACCCTCACCGGGTCGGTGCCCGACGGCCCGTGAGCCAATAATGTCGGCATCTCCAACACGTGGGAGTCGGTTGAGCGCGTCGCAGTTATGGCATTCGGCAATGTCCCTACCCCACCGCCGTGGTGTAGTCGGGCGGAGGGACGCTAGCAGACGACTGCGGGAGCGTAGCAGACGACGGATGCCGGTTATGGCGGGAGGGAGGGTTGCGGACGGTGGAGGCCGGTTATTAAAAGAGTTGGTCACGCGTGCGTGTCTGTGTGCGGTGGTGCTTCGCAGAGGGTGCAAGAGGAGGAGGAGGCAGCAAAGATCCGATGCTGCGTTCCCCGGCCACAGGGAGTTTTTCGGAGTCCGGGGAGCAGTCGCGGGACCGACAGACCCCCGGAGCACAGGGACATGGGTGAGCTGTGTTGGTATATAGCTATAGAGTACAGCGACTTTGTCGAAAGGAAGTGCCTAGGAAATAAAAATAAATAAATAAAAAACGAGATTGAAATGTTAAATAAAAAAAATAAGGAAGTGGAGGGCAGAGGGACGGTTGGCTGTCATGCAAATCCCCTCGAAATAATTCAATTAGAGCTCCGTTCGACAAGATGTTCTTCTCTTTCGAACCAGCGCAATATGCACGAACAAAAAATAACAATAATAAAAGAAAAGGAAGATGGGGAGTAGTAGGGAGTGGGGTGGTCCGCTTTTGGGGAAACTGGCTCTGGCGTTTTCGCTCGTCAGCCTCGTGAAAGAAGGGGGAAAGGGCGGGGGGGTGAATGACATGGATCGCTTTTCGCGGCAGCGCTGACTGGGACCGGCTTTTAGCCAAATTGCGGGAGGTCGTGTTGCTTTTTTTTGACTATCACATTTGTTTAGATGACTAGTATTATTAGGTTTATTTTTTGAAACACGGCGAAAGTGGCGGTGGTTTGAGACGGTGTAGACGGTCAAGTGGTGTCTTTGTCCGTCAGTAAAACATTATGTGTGATTTTTTTTTTTTTTTTTTTGCTCAAATTGGTTAAAGTTTTTGAGAATGACTTGTTACGTCCCCGGAAGGAGAAAGAAAATCAAGTTATGCACGCAGTTTATACGTTGCCCGAAATAGGTCTTTCGAGATTTGGTTGCCAGAGAACAAAAACGATTCCTGTTTGCATCTGAAACGTGTACTTTTTCTTGAAATAACGCATATCTAGGCTTAAACACGTACACAAACCTCTTACTTCGAGACATAAAATGGAAAAAATTAGGAACGCTGCGCGCGGAGCCGCACTACTTTTACTACAGTTCTTGATGGGAAAATGAGTAGCAGGCGATGCAGTCTCAAGCGATCGGACAGTCGGATCGACCAAGGAAACATTGTTTTCGTTCGATTTTTTTGCTGCTTTCCAGTTGGATTACGCCAAAACTTTCAAACAAAAATACATAAAAACAAAAGCTAGCAGCTATGCTATGGTCGCGCTTGAAAGCAGGCGTTTGAACCGGCTTCAGTTCGTGTTGGGGGAAAAAAAAAAAAAGGATGTGTCCACACTGATATAGATATGACAGGCAGCGTGTTACATCGATTACACGTCCAAAAACGGACCTAGCACTCCTCACTCTAGCGGAACAACACTGACTCCGCGACGCTTTAGCTCCTGCTCACAAAGTGTGTTAAGTTTTTGTTTATTTATTTGTTTTTTGAGGGAGAGGGGGAGGGGAGGGAACGCGGCCGGGAACCATGTGTTCAGACCCGCTCAGCCTTTCCCGAATCTCGGAGTTCGAACCCGGTTCACGTTTTCGAGCCTACCCCTCTTTTTTATTTTATTTTCTCTTTGTTGTTCTTTTTTCTTTTTTTCTTGTTTTTTTAAGGGGGAGCGTGGGAGAGAAAGAAAGAGTGAAAGATACAGGCGTGCGCTCGCCGAGCGGTCGGAGACGCAAGCCAGTCGAAGCGTGACCGAGATTTTTGCTTTTGTCTACGCCGGCGTAGCTTTCGTCGTGTTCCCGTTGACAGACAGGATGAACGTGTGTGACGTGGAGCCTAGGGTTTTTGGGGGGAGATTCCGCTAGGATTTTTTTTTTTTTAGGGAGTTTTGGGAAAAGGGGACTTGTGCAATCCACAAGCGTAGGGGTCGGTGGTGAGACCTTGCTGAATGATGAAAAATGGAACGAAACAACGCCGTGGTGGTGTCAGTCTGCTACTGGCTTTTAGGTGTCCGATGCGCTAGACCGGTGGCTTCAATTAAATTGCGTTCGCGGCGCTTGCGTCTCAATGTATACGTTTGGTGTCGGGGGTATTTCATGTCGGGGATGATGGACAGTTGGCGAAAAATGAAAAAAAGTATACGCGCCCTAAAAAATACTAAAAAAAAAACGACTCCCGCACATTTTGTTGGTGTAAAATTATTCGTTTGGTCTGAAGGTGATTCCCATGAAACTTTATAGACCAGGGGTGGCCAAACTACGGCTCTTCGAAGGGTCCAAGTGCGGCTCCTTGGTACACGTCCCTTCTCCTCCTGTATCCCCCTCCCCCCCCCCCCCCCCCCCCCAAAAAAAAAATGTCTCGAATTAAAAAAAAGAAAGTACACAGTCTTCGCAGCCTTGTACTACACTACGCACACACAGTAGCTCTTCGTTTTGAGACATACATGTGTCCAGTGACCCTGTTTTCTTTATTGTTCGAGAAAGAATTTCGAATCGCATACGCATAAGATGGGCGGCTAGCGAACGTTGCATTCATTTTTGTTTAGCGGTTGATGAAACGTTTTTGCTGCCTCGCATCATTTGTCGTAGTCGACAATTATACTTGTCCCGGTTGGAAAGGACTGTTTCCTTGATATCGTTTCTTGTTAAAAGTAGCCTCCCTCCCCCCTCCTTTTTTTTTTTTCTGCGGCTTCTTGAATTTTTGTTGTTCTGTCTGCGGCTATAGACCATCCCGGCGTTCACAAAGAGGCCCGCGTTCGCCCGCACCCGAGCAGAAACCAGATTCGAGAGAAACGAAGCGTTTGCTCATGCGCAGTGCGGACAGCAGCGCCAGCGCAGTTGCGTGACCTCAGAGGCCAACAGCCAATAGGATCGCGGCATTAGACGCCGAACGACCAATCAGAAAGCGAGCGGGGAGCGATCATGAGGCATGCCCCTTGTGTGTGTGTGTATGTGTCTCCCTTTTACTCGCTTTGGTATATAAGGTATATTCTACGTTCAAAGTTCGTTCTGAGTCGTTCTAATAGTATACTCTACCGTAGGGTTATCTCTGAGTTTGGGAGACTCTACGCATCCAAAAGCACTCATTTTATCGCCCCCCCCCCCCCCCCCCCCATATATATATATATATATATATATATATGAGAGGGTGAATTTTTGTGGGGAGTAAACAACTTTGTCCAACTTCCTGCGCAGCTCTCCGGTCACGGGCGAAGGGGGCCAAGGCTGCGCGTTGGCGGCCGAACCCGGGTCTGAGCCCTGCGCCGATGACGGAACGCCTTCCGACTTGAGGTGAGAGAGAGAGAGCGGTGGTGACGTGGCAAGCGTCCACTGCTACGGCTGTAACGACAGCCAAAAGGCCGTAGTCAGACTGTTCATAAATCGTACAAAAATTACACAGCGATCCCAAAGGACACACGCCTTGGGTGTGCAAAGACTTGGTTAAGGTTATTTAATTTTTTTTTATTAGGATGTGGGCAGGCATAAGAGAAAGTGTCAGTTTTGAGAAATGTTGGTTTCTGAAAAATAACAATTTTATTAATTACCAAAAACCCCTTTTTTTTCGTAATTGTATTGTTTAAAAAAAATGTCTCAGGACAAAGAGGTTTGTCACCGAGTCCACGTGGCGTCGCGGAGTGCGCGTAATAATTATATTAATTATATTAGTAATATCAATATTATCCGACATGTCCGGCTGCGTCATTTTCCCTAACCTTGCACCTGTTCCACAGGAGTGGCACCGCCGACGAGACGATCCGGTGGAAGTGCGTCGTGTGCTCGGTGAGTCATGAAATCCTATCCGTTGCTACCAACGCAAAAAAGAAAAAGTAAATGGCAATCTAACGTAGTGTTTAGTGCCGTCTTGATTGACTCCTTCTGGTCTCGGCTCTACACAGTTCTGGCACGTCTACTTTCCCGCAAAACAGCGTCAGCGTCAGCTATTGACAGAGTCAATAGCTGACGAGTTTTCGTTCGGTTATAGATCGTGCTCAATGTCAAAACGCAAATATTTATCTTTATATGCGTATTTTGAGTTTCAAACTTCACCTAGCTCTCTCTATAGGTTGCATCGACAGACCCTTTTTGTACTTCAGTGCCATCTACCGACTCAAGAAGCAGTTTCAATTTCAACAGACCAATTCGGTCATGAAACTGTATTTGATCCGGCACCGTCACTATCGCACGTCAATGGCAGACAAAATTGGTTCCTCCGTCGGCTCGTAATTCTTTGTTAATTCTGTTAGAACTGACCAGTACAGCGCGACGATCCCATAAGCACCTCGAATCAATTTTCGCCATTAAAAGGCTTTACAGCCAAACTTGTGCCAAGGGATATATTGGACAACACTCCGAAGTAAACGCTCAAGCAGCCGTTGTATCTGGTTCGTGCATCGTGTTGTGCTGACGTCTCGAAAGCGCAGGCCTCGCACTACATCCCGAGTTTTTTAGCGTCTTCAACTTCTTCCTTCGTCAGCCTCAAGAACGCCGCCATTAGTTCGGCAGACGTGCCATACACTGAGATCAGGGTGTAAGATAGACAGGTGGGGAAACGGCCCATAGAAGCCTACCGCAGCGCCGTGACCGGATTGTGTACTCGTCTGCTTGCGGGTACCCCCGCTTTGCGACAGATGGCGCTGCGGCGAGAGGAAAAAAATCGGAATCGGATTTGCGTGGAACTCTATGGGAGAGTGCGCAAAATAAACCGAGAGCACGACAGTCCTCTATTGAAAATCCACGAGAAACCATCTCCGTCAGTTTAGTCGGTCGCCCACACGGAGTGAGAGTTCGTGGTGCTCCACATAGATGGCGCCACGGAAAAAGAGAAAGCCGAGGGGTACACAATCCGGTCGCTTATTTGGCTCTCGTTTCCCCACCTGTCTATCTTTTACACCCTGACTGAGATGATGACAGTGATCAAATTTTCCCGCCCGAATTTCGTAAATGGGTTTATCGGCTCTGACAAACGTTTTGCGGGGAAGCACACGCGCTGAGTTTATTTTTTTATATTGGAGTTGACAGTATCTATATGTCGTATATCTGTTGTTGTTGTTTTTCTCGTCTGTGACCTCAGGAGCCGTACCGGACTCCGCTCGTGTCCGTCTGCTGCTGGCACGTCCACTGCGAGCGCTGCTGGCTTCAGACATTGGTGAGTCCCGGATTCTGGAATCGCCCCTTGGCGCCTGGTTTTGGTCCGCCTGGATGTCTGTAGATATCCGGTGATCGAGCAGATCTTTCGGAACCTTAGGAAATCCGGAGTCGCCATTAAATACGACGAGAACAACCCTATAGGTGAACATCAAAGTTTCTCGAGATTCAAGTTGCCCGGATGATATAGGGGAGAAAATATACTTTTCGTGTAGTTATTGACAAGTGCAGGTGTTCCCGCTATATTTAGCGTGGAAATGGAATTGTTCTATAATTAATCACCAGTTCCGGTTTACCCGGTATAGGTAGCGAGAAAATTAAATTTCACACTCTCGCGCTATTTTTTTTTTTTTTTTAATTTTTACTTGTATTATGAAACACTAACCCTAAACTTGTTCTGCATAGAAAACAATATTAGACAAGCCCGATCATGCTGACCAAGACAGGGAAGCACCGAATACGTATGGAATGAGCTGGGCACATGCCGCGTGTGTGACGTCACACTATATCATGACGTCACATGTTCACGTGACACCACGGCGTCACATGTTCGCGTTACGTCATGTGGTATCACGATGTCACATGACGCCACAATATCACGTGACATCGTGATCCTCCGTGACGGCTCTTCACAGTGGCTTTCTCATAGAGTTTGGTTCATCAAACACACACTGTAATAAAACATAAAAGAAAGAAAAACTAACGGTGCGTTTGATGGCGTGTCTCACGCAGGGATCGAAGCGGCTGTGTCCACAGTGCGACGCGGTGACGTGTCCTTCCGACCTGCGCAAGATCTACCTGTGAAGCGAGCGGGAAGAAAACACGCGCAGCCGTAGAAACTGTCACTGGTGCTGCTCCGAGTCGCTCGTCACCGCCGCCTCTGCCGCCGCCCGATGTCGCGCGGTCGTCGTCGGCGGCCGAGCGGGACGCAAGGCCGGGACTACGTCGTCGTCCCTACCGCCACATACGGTCGTCGCCACGTAAACCACCACCTTTCCTCCACCACTCCAGGGAACCCGGAGCGTCTGCTTTCCCGCAGAGCACTTGGGAAAGCCAATCGCGGAAAACCTAAACCTAAAAAACAGAAAAAAAAAAGATGTGCAGTTTTGCGTCTCATAAGCAACGCTTTGAATGCATTTTTCTCTTTATTCTGCCGTTGTTTTTGAATATTTCGTAAGGCTTCTCAAGTGTCTCAAAGTCCTCTCTCTTGCCTTTTTTTTTTTTTACTTTTTTTTTTAACATTTGCGTTGCGTGGTTAGTGAAGCATGCGGCGTAAAGATGTTTGGCACTCGACCCGTGGCCACCGTCAAAGTTTACAGAGGTCACCGTGGCAGTCTTCACTGTACTAATTCAGCGTTGGGCTCCACTAAGAAAGCCGGTTATACAACAAAAACTCTGTGCACCGTAGCACTGAGCACAGTTAAACGTCACACGCAATGCAAGAGCGCAAGCCGCTTTTCTTTCCTTTTTTTAAGTCGCAGCATTTATTTATTTATTAGCGACGTGCAAAGGAAATAAAACAGAGGTTTGTGTGTGTTGGCTCTGAATCACACACGCCACTGTCGCTTTGGAAATTGAGGACTCGGGGGAAAAAAAGGCATAGTTAGAAAAGTATAAAGAAGAAGAAAGTTTTTGTTCTCCAATCACCTTATTCAGCCCCATCAATGGCCGAGATTCCTGCGTGGCTTGCGCGCCTATTGGCTCTCCCAAGAGCATTGCGGGAGAGTTCGACGCTGCGGCTCCCGGAGTGCACCACGACCCCTCGTCGTCACCCGTGTGCGGTCGGCCGCGGTCCCATATCCCCTTTTTTCCCTCGCCCCAGAAAACCAAGACTCCCCCCCTTCGTCCGGTGTGCGCCTGTACATAGAGTGGTTGACCCCCCGTGGTACGCCCCTGTTGAGTTCTTTGACCGCCTCGTGCGTTAATAAAGACAGGTTCTCCTTTTTAAACACCCCGGCCCATCTTCGTTCGTTGCGCCTTCGCTGGCGCGCTTTCCCTGGTAGCACTCTTAGTTCCGCGATGTCCTTAGGATGTCCTAACATTCTGGGGATGTCCTGTGGACGTCCATGGGACATCTCAGAACGTTGGGACATCTTAAGGACATCCTAAGGATATTCACAGAACTAAATGTGCTACCAGGGTTATAACAGGAACGCCAGAAGAAACACACGAATTTGAGACCCCCAGAGGGAGGATCATACGCAACAGCCTCCGATGTATGGTGGGGTTTCATTTTAACCGTGGGATACGATATTTCTGGCTAGCAGGGTGCCTCCGAAGTAAACGAAGCAATGTCACAGACGAGACTAAAATCACAAAAATGGTGGAACATCATCAACGTAAAGTATTAACGTTATTCGGGCGAGCTGTAGCGCCACGAAAAGATGTAATATGTCACGAATGAACTGTAAAGAAGAAGGTAATGCTATAAAAAAAGTTTTAGTTTGTTCGCGCGAAAAAAAAAATTTTTTTTGTTTAATATCGTTCGACACTTTCAACGTAACGCTCGACTTACGAATGCGAAGCTGCGGCGAAGCTTAACGTGAATATTGTTTCGCGCCATGCATATCGAGGCTCAAGGCTGAGCGCTCTGTGTGTAATTGCATTAGAGTTTGTTTTTGTTTTTTTCTGCGTGAGATTGGTTTGCGTGATTGGTTTAGCGTCGTGACGATTCACTTTTGCCGCTTCTTGATTGGGTACATCCGATCGCAGCGTCGGCTGCCGGCTGCGCTTCCACGTATCCTGAAACGGAGTGTAGCCAATCAAGCGCCGTGAGCGTATCACGTGATTCCGCGTCTCGCTCTAAGCCCTCTTGAAAGTCACAACGTGACACTCACTGGCTCCGATGGTCCACTAACGTCCATCCCAAGATGCAAAGGAGCGTAATGACGTAACGACACTGCCGAAGAATCGCTATCCCTCCCGTAACGCCATTCCAGGCAATATATCTTTCTAACCGACGCCATTAAACGCAGCAGTCCGCCGCGCACGCGCGCGGACGCCGTGCAGCGTTTTTGAAACGGGCGCACGTCTCCCGGAGCTTCGCTGAGATGGAGAGGAAGCCTCTCGGCAGAGCGCTCTCCCGCTGTGTCGGCCGTGTACGCTGAGGTGCGCGCTCGAGCTGGGGGAACCCCGGGTTTCGGTCCGCGGTGCTATAGATCCAACTCCCTCGCCGCTCATCACGAAGCGATCAGAGAACGAAGCCGCCATCGCTCATCTCGCGCGCGCGCTGGCTAGCGCGGCCGCGATGCCGCTGGAGAAGCGGTCCGGGAGAGAGATTTTCGGGTTCCCATTCACACCTCTTTCACGGGGCTCCCTGGAGACAAAAGCGCGAGATCTTTTGAAGCGTCGATGCCTTTTTGGGGACTAACCGCTGGAAAAGCCCCCCCCCCCCCCCCCTCTTTTTCCCCTTTCCTTTTCTGGGAGAGGGCGGGAGAGCAGAACGAGCAATCCTTTGAGAACGTTTCGAAGCGCGAGTGTTCGCGACCGCTCTCCTCTTCTCCCGATCATAATTGCGGGCCGCTGCTTGGGGAAACGAAAATGAGCTCAGTTTTTGCTAGGGAGGTGGGGGGAAGCGACGGGTTTATAGGGGAAAATGAGGGAAGGAAAGTCATCTTCTCTTTTGTCGAAACAGAGCGGCGACGGAGATTGCCGGGCGATTTCACGGTGCTGCGGAGGAACGCTTGTTGCTGCTCGCTCGTCGACGTTATACGCGGTTACACGGGTGGAAGTTGAAGGGGGAGGGGGCTAGAAAGAATCAAAATTCGGTGCTGCTCGTCGGTGGGTGCGTCGGACCGAAAGATCTCTTCCGCTATTGCGGAGTTTTCGGCGGGGAGGGACGATTGTTACTGCTGGGGCTCTTGCTGCGTTTGACAGAAGCGGCATTGCTTTGCCGCGGGCTCACTACGCTCCATGTTCGGGAATACGGCGGAGGACAAAAATAATAGAGAGGGAGAAGGTTAGAAAAGGGGGGGGGGGGGGGGGCGTACAGAAGGCGGTACACGCCGCTTCTTCGCTATCGCGCCAAGCGGCTCGTTTTCATCGACCGGTTCTTAATTAGCTTTTACGAGCCTCGCCGTGTCCCGCCCCCCTTTCCCTTGAACACGTTTATGAGAAGGGGGGAAAGGGGCGTCCGCCCCCCCCCCCCCCCTTTCCTTCTAAACACCGTTCTTCCGGCGCGCGGACCGCGACTCCGATACGGGCAGCGCGCGCTAACCGAATTAATGCGTCGCCAATAAAAGAGGCAATTAGCCCCGGCCGCCCCCTAATTGTTCCTATCGGGTCGCGGTGCGATCGCGGTGTCGATAGCGCGGGCCACCGCGCGCGCTAGCGCGCTGACTCAGACCAGCGGAAGCGGGCGTTACGTATTATAAACCTCGGTTTTCGCGTCCGCAACCTTATATGTCGTAGAACGCGAACGCTCAACACAGAACAGCTCTTGGGCGGCGCGGCTGAAAACACTTTTGGCTCTCCGCTCGCTCGCAATGTGAGTTTTGTAGGGGTTGGGATCTTCTGAAGGGAAGGTAGGAACAAGGATAGCGGGGGGGGGGGGGGGGGGGGGGGGGGATGTCCGTTACAAGCTGTCGGCGCTCTACGGCCTCCCCCGGGTCCTCTTGGGGAAGCTTTCAATTGCCGTGCAGGCGCGGTGAGCGTTGTATGTGTGTGCCCGCTTTCGGCGTTCGTGAGCGCGCTTTGCCGGTTCGTCTTTTATGGGGAGGGGGGGGGCATCTCTTTTCCACCCCGGCCGCCGCCATTCGGAGAACCCCGACCCGTGATTTGTCGATTTCATCATGGGCTCGTTGCGGGCTTGTTGCTCCCGAGGTGCTTGTTTCCGGAGCCTCAGTCTGAGTTGTGGCCGCTGCCTTTTTGGTTTTACTTCTTCCGCGCGCGCTCTTAACGTCCCTTCTAACGCGGTATATATCGCGAGCCGGCGGCGTGAACAAGCACGCTCGTAAGAGGAAGTAAAAAAGAACGAGAAGAAAAAAAAACAGACTGCGATGTGTCGGACGCGATTCGTGCTTCTCTGGATAGGGAACACACACAGACACACGGCGCACACGCGAACGCTTGTATCTTCGCTACGGTGGGGTGTTCCTACGGGACCGTTTTTCTTCGCCGCACACAAAGAGCCGAGAAGTATAGAGTTGGCCCGGTCTCGAGAGTGTCATCGAGATCGAGAGATGTTTTCTTGAAGAGGGGAACAGCGCAGCGGCGTCTCGCGGGTTGTGTGCAGTGCTGAAGTCACTGCACACGATGAAAACGGTATATAGGGCGTCTCTCTCCGATGCCCGGCCTTTGGCACGCGCACGCCGCCTTCCGTCGTGCTTTGACCGCGCGTGCACGCTCGAAGCCCACGTGACGCCGAAGCATTACAAAAAAAGGCTCGCGCTGGTTGCGGTACAAATGGAGGACCTCCTTGTCGTACTTATTCTGTTCGTAGCTATGCGGAACGCAAGTTCGTCTGCCTCATTTGCGGGGGTTGTGGTGACGTCAGAATGCCGAGCCATGATTGGCCTTTATTGTAGCATAGTGGGTAGACCTCGAGGCATCTTCCCCTGAGGTCTACCCACTATCCTTTAATCGGAACCAATCGGAGCTTGGCGCTTTGACGCGTAGTGTGTTGCAACGAAAGCATCTCCTCCGTCTGGTGTAAAGCGTCCTACTCCGCCCATGCATCAAAAGTCATCCCGAAGTGGCAACAGATGTGGTCACAAAAGCCGCAGCGTCAGGCTGTCGGATGTCGCGATCCTGGTCGTGGCGGCGTCCCAAACTTCTGGCTGCCAAAGCTTCCGTGCACCGTCAAG